CCATGTGGTCACCTCCGGGGCAGGCGGGAATCGAACTCATGCGGAAGGGGCTTAGATTCTCAGGGCTGTGCTTTAACCTGCTGCACCACCAGGGAGGGCCAGACAAATGATTTTTTTAAAGATAAAAAAAGGGAGGGTTTCAGAGGCTGGTGTAGCTGTTTCTATCAGTAGCTGAACACTCAGGAAGGGAGGGTGTGGCCTGGGAAGAGCTCTTGACCCCAGCTGAGAGGTGAGTTTTAGTCTCTGGACTGGTTTCTTCACCTTTCTGCCGAGTTCCACCACTTGCCAGGGCTTGTCTGAGGTCCCGTCAGTGCTAACCTGCTGCAGTGTGGGGCCATCCAGGGGCAGGTCAGGCTGGACAGGGGACCTGGCCTCTGAAGGCCTGCAGTCCAGTGTTGGAGACCCCTGTTTCCAGCTGTAAAGCAGTGGTGGTTTCCTCCAGTTTCTGTCTCCTCCTAACAGGAAACTGTGGTCAGGGGAAGTTCCAATTTCCTGCGGTGCTTGGCTGGCCAGGGCCTGGACTGCGTTCCCCAGCGGGGCATGCTGGGAGGAGTGGCGTGGACTGGGGAGGCTGGGTGAAGGGCATGTGAGGGGGGCCAGGTGAGCTGCCCCCCAGGCTGAGCCTTGGAGCCCCCCATCCTTGTAGCAGTGGCCAGCAAGGGGAAATGGACCTGTAGCCATCTCTCTGGTTGTCAGAGTAGGAAGGAAGCATATAGAAGGGGCCAGAGGAGATGATGCTTCTTTCTTATCCTGCCTCTCCTCTGAGAGGTGACTCCACACTCAGAGTTTTTGTCGCCTTAGTGGTAAGAGGGGATGATGATAACCAGTCACTGAGGCTGGGTGGAAGGGTGAAGCAGACATGTCCGTGTGGGGACTCAGTGGGCAGGACTGCATCCCTGCTGTGACCATTGTCACCATCTCGGTGCTGCCTGAATTGGGTGGCCTTTGACTTGGCCATGAAGACTTGGGTTAGAGTGAGTTAGCCCTTTCTTCCCTCCTCACTCTGCTGTGTTTGGGCTTTTCCCAGACAGAAATGGAGAACTGGATTTCTCCACTTTCCTGAACATTATGCACACACAAATAAAACAAGAAGACCCAAAGAAAGAAATTCTTCTGGCCATGATGATGACAGACAAAGAGAAGAAAGGCTACATCATGGCTTCTGAACTGCGGTTGAAACTCACAATACTGGGGGAGAAGCTCACCCACAAAGAAGGTAACAGCTGAGTCCCTTTCTCAGCAGTGGGAGATTAGAGGGTTGGGGGTCCAATCTGTGCCACCAGGACTGTGCCAGACCCACCTTCGATGCATGTAGACTGCAGCTAGGTGTCCAGTCAAGTGAACTCTGAGTGGAGCACAGGGGAAACTCGGGGGTGAGAGGGGGAATTCTGCCAGGAGGAAAGGATGGTCCAGGAAAACCTAGGTACACTCCACTCGGGCCTCACCTGCATTAAGCTTTCACTTCATGCTTGGACACCTCCGGAAGCACTGGTCCCTTTATACTGCCAAAGGGACAGGTGAAGTGAGTGGCTTTGAGTGGATGAACCGGGAGCTGGTCTAGTAGACTCGTCACTGCCAGCACCCAGCCTGTCTCAGGCTCTCACTGCTGCTGTCTTCTCAGCGCAGGTGCTGAGTTTCCAAACTTAGATGCCGTTTTGCTCCCTTTCCTCATGACTCACAGGCTCCAAGCCCTTCCAGAAAACGTGCTGGTGGTGGCCTCTGTTGGAACTGCCGATCACAGAACCCCACTAGGGGGCTTCTGCCTCTTCCTCCCAGCAACCAGCACACTCCCTGTCACAGGGCAGGCTGAGGGGACCAGGTCTTCTAGAAAAGGGCAACCCCAGTGCTGCCCAGTCGCTGGTGTTCTGCCAGCCTGCAGGGCTGGCCCCTTGTTCCTGCTACCGCCGCCTTCCCTGGTCTGCTGCCAGACTCCACACCCCCACCCCAGGGGCTGGCACTTGTACTTAGCCCGCAGGGCTTGCTTGTGGCTGGGACGGGAGGACTAGGGTAGGAAGAGGCTCCAGTAATGATGGCCTTTCAGTCGTCTGTTAAATGACAGCCAATCCATGGAAGGGTTTGCAGGGTTGTGATTTAAATTATGTTTGACTCCTGACTCCCCCTCATTCTGGTGAACCCCAGCCGAATTTCTTAACCTCTCCTCCTTCTCGGTTTCCTCATTGGAAAATGAGGTTACAATAGACAGCCCCTCAGGCCCCTGCAGTAGTTCACATTCCATAAGCCAGTCTGCTTAGATCTGATCTGCAGTCACAAAGGCACAGTGCAAAGCATTTAAAAATAGCCCCACAGAAGGCAGATGCAGCTTGCCCCGCTTTTTCAGGCTGGCAGCTAACCCCATCTCCTCTTTCATTGCGGCTGCTTGGATGTGAACACGGGAAACGTGGGCTCTCTTTCCTTCTCAGGCTCTGAGGACACTGCTCCACCTTTTATGTACCTGGTGGAGTGTTTGCAGCAAGGGCCAGCTGTGGCCTTCTTTCTCATGGTTAATATCTCTGTCTAAAGTGATAGCACAGTCCCCAGGCCTGCAGACCTTCTCATTTGTTTAACAAGTAAGGAAACTGGCTCAAAGAAACTGGCAGTGTGTTCCAGAAGAGCAGGGAGATTTATTTTTTCCTCCTCTTGCTGTGGGAACCAGAAAAAGGACACTAGAATTAGGGATCTGGTGCCCTGGGTAATGGAAAGGAAATCTTTAGCTTTGGCCTCAGAGGCCCTAGGCTGGGTGGTTTCAGCACCCTGGTTTGTTATGGCTTCAACAGTGGCCCACCTCCTCCCAGGTACCCGGAGGTGCCAGCACCAGCTGTGAAGCGTGGCTGTCTGAGCACAGAAGGCAGTGGCAGCTGGCCTGGGGCTGGTGTGGGACTGTCTGTTGAGATGGTTTTAACCCAGCAGCGCAGAGGGTAGAAGCTTCTCCATGAAATGAGATAAATTAGTCTCAACTTTCTAAAAATACTCAACTACTATCAGCTTAGAACACAGTAATTACATTTTAGAGGAGGATGGGTAAGCAGAGAATCACGGGCTATTCTCTAACTGGCCAGAATTGGGCTGTGGGGTTGTGTAGGGCAGGGGAGTTGACAGGGGAGTTTCAGTTTTTGCAAGAGGATGAGAATGGAGCCATGAACCAAACATGGGGTGGCACCCAGAGGCCACTGTGGAAAGCTGGAATGATTCTTCTTGCCAGTGCTTGGGACAAGCTAGTATTTTGTCCCAGGAAACCAGAACCAGAAGAAATAATGATTCTTTTTTTTAGCAACATCTGAGAACAGTAACAGTTTTGTGTTTTAAGCTTCACACAGTTGAATTTATTTTCTCCCATACTATCCCCACCCCCCGAAACACACACTTTTTGAAAAAGAAGTGTCAGTGGCAGGCACCACTTATCACTAAGTCCTGTCTTGGAGTGGGGCAGGGCTGGTGGGGAATGCGGACTTGGAAGGGAATGCAGGCAGGCCAGGGGCAGGCCCAAGCCTGGGCTGGGGTGGCCAGAGTGGAGCTCCACCAGCTATCTGCTGTGCTGAGGGAGGGGGGAGCGAGGGTGGGCCGTGGGTGTGCAAGTTAAAATCCTTGACAAATGTTCTATGGCACAGGAGTCTGGTATTTTTCTATGGAAAAAAAAAAAAAATAGCACAAGGTGGCTCCAGCAACTAAGTCCTCCCCAGTACGCCTCTCTACTTCCTACCCCAGGCCCCTCAGAAAGTCCAATTAACTCAAAATTAATTCCAAGTGTCTCCAAGGGGTAGGGGGTGGGTTATGTTCTGCTCACTGGTTTACTTCCTGGACTACGGGAATAGTCAATTGGACACTCAGGGATGACCTCTGGGGAGCCCCAGCCTCCAAGAATTCAGTGTCCTATAACCTAACACTAAAGCCAAACTGAAAAATTAATGTGATTTATTGCAGTGGATGATCTTTTCAGGGAAGCAAATATTGAACCAAATGGCAAAGTGAAGTACGATGAATTTATCCACAAGATCACCATTCCTGTGAAGGACCAATGAATGGAGAATGTAAGAGAGCCTCCCCTGGGCCTGAAAACTCAGACTGATTAATTTTTAAAAAGAAAAGTGTTCCTTTCACTCTAGGGAGATGGCGAACAGCAGCAAGATGACATTATCCGATGGAAGAAGATAGCTTAGCAATGAAATTATTGCAATCATGTTAGCAGTATGTCTCTAATAAAAGATCTTTATTGATTTTAATAACACCCATTAGTCTGGTCCTTCACAGCATGGAGCGAAGAGCCGATGGCTTGGAGTTGGGCCTGGATTCCGGCCCTGACACTTGTTTGCCAGCTTTGGGCGCTTCAGTGTCCTCACTGAAATGGATTCCTACTTCTTACCTCATGGAGCCGGTTGTGAATGGTCTGTGATTACTTTTGCACGATGCTGTCCTGAAGGGCAATCAACCAAAAGACTTCTGCATTCAGGTGCTGGAATCACCTCCCACATTTTCAAAGTAAAGCCAGTGCTCGCTGGGAAATAGCAACAAAGAACTCAAACAAAAACTATGGCAATGTTTCTGGCAGCACCACAGGGCCACTTAGAAATTCTTATTCCCATCTCAACACAGTGACATGGTTCAGGATAGCTACTAACAGAGGCTGGGGTCAAACAAAACAAGCGCAGCCTCAGTTAACAGTGGGCAGTGATCTGACCTTACAGCCCACATCAAAGGAGACCAGTTGTGACCCCGGATCGCTGGGGCCAGCAGTGCTGGGGGAAGCCGGAGCCCTTTCTACTGCTCCTGCCAGAACTCTGAGCCCCCTCCTCTCTTGTCAGGTGTTGGAGGGCCTAGTATGGTCCACTCAAATGGGCCAAATTGGTCCTGGCCTCAAGCCATTTCCTCAGGCCTAATGGGAGTAGGGATGTGGCAGGCCATGGGCCTGGTACAGAGCGCCCTGGCACAATTGTGGGTGTACTGGGCCTATTGAGGAGCTCTTCCAGCTCCACAGGGTTTTTAGAAGTTATAGAACAGGAGATGGCAAGCTGGTGTGCCCATGCACTCATGGCCTCTGTGGGTCCATCAGGGTGGCAGTGTAGCCCTAAAAAGGGGCTGGTATCACACACGTACGTGTGCGTGCATGCGTGCCTTAGAGGCACGAAGCACAGATTTTCATCCTTGTATGTATCAAAATTGGACTTTCTGGATTACAGCTTTGTCTGATGGTGCCAGAGTAGCTAACGCAAAAGAAAACCAGATTTTAAGAGGGAGGCGTTCTCTTTGAGGTCATACAAAAACCCAAGGGCCAGGCATGTGGGAAACTGCAGGGGACAAAGCAGTCTGGGTACAATGACTTCATGATGCTGTGTGGCGTCCAACCAACCCCCAGGAGGTTGATTTTCCCAAGTTTTAATTGCAAATAGGAGTGAGTAGGAACTCTTGAGCGAGAAGTAATGGGGGTGGAAGGTGTTGGTGATAAATGATCCCAACACCAAGTAAGTGAAGAAGTGAAGTTATGATCATCTAGCTGGGGAGCTTCTCTTCACACAGTGCAGGGGGCACATCCGGGATTTGTGGGGTCTGAGGCCTATGAGGCTGATGGTCTTTAGGAATACAGAAAGAGAAACAATTGCCAGGGTTGGCCCTAGGATCCTGGTAAAGGCTGGAGCCAATGAGGGGCCCTGGTGCTCCACCTTCATCACCTTTACGGAAACTGACCAGTCCCCACCCAAGAGCTAGTCTGACTTTGGTGCCCCAGAGAACTGCTCTATTTCACTTTCCCACAAAGTTAGAAGGCACAAGACCGTAACTCTTCATGGATGTCAGGAGCTCCGGCCAATTTGACAGGTGGTATCTATGATTTAGAACAGGAAAACAAAGTCCTGGGTTATGACTGAAGGTACTCCCCGAGTGTTTTTGGTCTCTCTATAACACTAAATATTCTCATATGGGGTGTAAAGCCACTTTTACTAACCTCACTTGCCTAAAAGGAGTCTGCAGTGTAACTTGCCAGAAGCACAATGTGCAGTGGACATTAAAACCCGGGGCCCACCTCCCCTCCTCAGGGTTCCTAGTTAAGGTTGCTCCTTGCCTAGGAGTCTAAGCCAGTGCTGAATTCAGATTCAAACCTCTACCTCAGGAAAGGCTCTCACACTACCCCGTGTCATGCTCACTCCTGAAATCCTAGCTGGCTTACCTAGCACCTAGTGCTGCTTACAAGAAAGGCCACAGTACTTAAAGCACTCCAACTGCATGTTAGCAAACAGATTTAAAATTAAACAGATGCTGTGGTTCATTACAAGCTAGCCATATTTCTGGCTGTATATTCATTACTTACCTCAAAGCATGGTGCAAGAGTAAGTTACTTGTCATGCTTTGAAATCTCTGGATGAAAGGTGCTTTGGAAGCACAAAGCATTATCACTTTTCACAGGGCTTGTCCCCTTGTATACCCAGCATTATATTTTACAGAAGACAAATTAACTGAAGGCTTTTCTTTTATTACATCTAAAGAGCTCTACATAAACAAGTAACATTCAATAGGTAAACAATTTTTTCCAATGCATGTAATAAATATTTTCACTTGGTACTTTTATACAAACTGACATTGGTCTACTATACATTTTTAAAAGCCATTTTACTGGTTTGGCATGCGGTATGGAAATCCTAAGAGAAAGTTTTAAGGCAATGAATCACAGATTTAAGTTCATGGAATTTATGGTAACTTTTATATCTGTTTATATACATTTTCCCCTTTGTTAATTAAACAATTAACAGCAGCACACTCTGGGACCACCAGCTATTCTCCCTCCCTCTTACTGAAATCTAAGCTTTGTTTAAAAAAAACAAAAACAAAAACAACAAACAATAATAACAGAATTTAACATGTATAAGTAGAGCAAGATTCTTACTAAAATAATTCCAAATGTGCTTAAAGTCTTGAAGATCTTAAAAAGTGTGTTATGTATTTAAAGTTGTAATTGTTTAGAAAACGATGTTCTTCCTAAAATTATTAAAGTTGGGATATATGATCCATTACAGACACCTGACTCAAAAGGAACGTCTGCCAAGATATTGTATTTTTAGAAGCCAAAATGACTCTTTCCTAAGTCAGTCATGATACTGAGTTGTGAAGTCTACATTAAAAGAAGCAGAAAAATCTTAATGTTCAAAACAAATTAGTCAACCACATGTGGCCTGGTTAAGGTTCAGATTGTTTTAAAAAGATGTCTAATGCCCACAAAGTAACTAACAGCCACTTCAACCTTGCTAGTCCAACAGCTAATTTATCAGACATGTGTGCACCCATGTGTGCATACATATTTCTACACACACACACACACACACACACAGTTCTGTACACAAGTACAAACACATGCCACAATATTATGATAGACCAGGCAAGGCGGATGGTGGCAACTTGCTGAAAGACTCTGAGAATCACTTTCTGTCCATAGATAGCACGTCAATGTCGGCATGGGTGGGTGATTGAGGGTAGGCTAAAGAAAAAAAGAGATGAAATGACTATGTGCTTTATTTTTTTTTTAATAAGATAAAGACGCAGTGCTTGACTCTACTAGCAATTATTACAGATCATGAAAGTCTGACTGACTGAGATCAATCCCGAGACCAACAGAATGACAGCCACTACTGACGTAACATTTTGGAAAGTCAACAACTGCAGGCAACAAACACCTTAGTGGAATGAGCTAAAATAAAAAGACAACTGAATGGTTATTTTCTCCTGTGGAGACATGACCAAAACCACTAGACAGACATTTATTTCTCCCTATTACGTGTTCTTCCCTTAGGTTGGTATAATGCAGGACACTGAGGGAAATGAACCCTCACTAAAATTGGGCTGAAGAAAGTAGAGGGATGGATTTTCAACTGCTTCACTCAAAGAATTTGGAGTTCAGTATCAAACATATAGTGACTGATCAGAATTTTCAGACCACTAACAATGACAGAAAAAAACAAAACAAACCAGAAGTAAAGAAAACTATTCATATTTTATCTTAGGTACATGAATTAGTAGAAATGTCTCCTATTACAATGTGAAATAAGAAGCAACTCCCCACAATTTAAGTAGTTTCTATTCCAATCTGAATTTAGACACAAATTATGACACTATTAATATCAGCCTAAGTTAATATGGCAATAACAGTTCTTGAAGTGTTTATTTACCGTTAACACCAAATTCTTTTAAAACTTAACTATTTCCTGTTATAACCAACAATGAAGATTTTATTGCAAATTGTTTAATGACTATAACTCAGCCATGTATGTGTGGAATACACATGCGTAGGGGAAGACTATATAACTCACTGTCACTCACACACATTTGTCTATAAATACATATATACACACACACATATACATATCAACACCAACTTGTTTTTCAAAATTCAAGTCAACAATTTAGTGGCATAAATGCTATGAAAACAGGTATTATTTTTCGATGCCACATAGTCATGAGAACTGTTAATTTTATCATACAACTGAAGATACAGCCATCTTGAATTCTACCTGGATTAAAGTAGGTCATTTTGTTACCACTGCAAGGTTAAAAGGATAATTTTATACATAAAGGTGGTCCTTCATCAACTCTGAGAATAATAACAGCTGTGAAATAAAAATCCAGTCTGGAAAACTGGTAATATTATGCTCCTTCTTTATCTTTCCTGTTAATTAAACCTGCTAAACCTTTCGTTTAACTAAGAAATACTCCCACACCTTCAAGTATTACCTGAAGAATGTAATAGCTTCTCTGATGAGGATTTTTGGAACACAACTAGAACCACTTTTCCTTTTCTTCAATCTTTACTCATCTCCTGAAAAACAGTTTTCAATATATTTACATGTTCCATTATTAGTAAGAATAGATCAGACTGATCCATAAACTCTAAAAACAAAAAACTCCTATGTCATGCTTGTCTTTAAGAAGTAAAGGAAAAAATAAAACAAGATATAGTTATGCTAAGAAAATAAATATACTCAGAACTAGTGAGTAAAAATGACTAAGGATCAAGCCCATTTTGAATTTCAACTGTTTATCAGATAGATTTCTACAGATTGACATGTGTGGTGCACCGTATTTTCTAAACAAGTTACTTTTAGGACAACTGTCTTTCTTTTTTGAGGTGATGTAACTAACTGTACCCCTGTCAGTGGTACTAGACATCCAACAGGGCTTTCTAAGCTGTTTTTACTGCCTA